TGGTTCAAAAAGGTAAAGGTCAATTAAAATAAAGAGAGCAACTTAAAATGGACTCTAAAGGGGGCATCTTGAAAAGGGGTATTAAAAAGGGGCATTTTAACAAATAAATTTTTTGTTTAACTCTTTATTAATATATTTTAGAAAAAATTTCATTGGCCAAAACATTAAAACTGTAGGGATAAAAGTGAAATTTTCACCAAATATTTGCATTGAAAACCTAAAACGACAACTATTATGAAACAAAATTCAAATCCTAAAACAACAACTAAACTGAAACGGAGGGAGTAATATTTAATTTCAATATAAGCATTTTTGTCAACCTAAAAAATATAAGTTATTAGTTAAAAAAAAAAGTGTAACCTAAAAACTGAAAATAATTTAGTTTTTTATTTATTTATTAAAAGAGTACATAGTTAATATGTGATTTAAATAGTCTTTGGTAGAATGGTAGGTCTGTTGCCGAACCGAAGTGAAGAATTTGCAAGAATTTTTGGTTTCGGTTTGGAACCTTCAAACCGATCGGTTTCAAATTATTATCGATCCAAATTTTAAAAATTCAAATATCAAATTATTTTCTTCCCTCTTTCAGACTCTGTCTCTCTCGATCTCGAAGGTGAAGCTATGGGAGTGAAGTATCTTTGGGATGTTTTGGAGCCTTGCAAGAAGACTTTCCCACTCGATCATCTTCAGTGAGTTATTGCTTCGTCTCAATTTCTCTTTCATTTTCTGGGTTTTTATAAAGTTCAAGTCTTTACGAGATCTTCGATAATCGTTAATCGCTGTAGAAACAAAAGGGTATGCGTGGATCTTTCGTGTTGGATGGTGGAATTGCATAAAGTGAACAAATCTTATTGCGCCGCTAAAGAAAAAGTTTATCTTCGAGGACTCTTTCATCGTCTCCGAGCCCTAATTGCCCTAAACTGCTCCATCATTTTAGTCTCAGGTAATTTCAGCCTACTGTCAAAAAAATGCCATCAGAAGAACCAATTTGGGTTTAGGGTTTATGAAGTGTTTGTATTGTTGTCATTGTGAATTGATTTGAGTAGTAGAAGCATGAGTGGTCAAATCAGTTCTGAGTTATTGATGCTTTTCTCTAAAGAATTGGTTTTTTTTTTTTTATGTTATTGATCGTACTTGACTTGTTGTAAACTTGTAATTGTAGATGGTGCAATTCCTGGAATCAAAGTACCAACTTACAGGCGTCGATTAAAAGCAAGATTCGAGGTACAATGATGCCAAATGAGGGATTAGTGCCTTTATCCTTGCATATTACTGTTAGTTCTCGGACTGTTTTTTCCGATTTAATGCTTTATTGGTTCAGCCAGGTCGCTGACGATGGTGTTGAGCCTAGCAAAGAGACTTCACTCAAAAGAAATATGGGGTCTGAGTTCTCGTGCATCATAAAAGAGGCAAAAGTTATTGCATCAACACTGGGGATACTTTGTTTA